GAGAGGACAACCTCTGCGGGAGTTACGGACTCGGGAGTCCTCTACGTGCAGTCTGGACTTGCACCCTGTCCTACACGAAAGCAGTGTTGACTGGCGGCGAGGTTATCTCCTGCTCTTTCTGGAAGTCATGACATCTGTCAGTTTCATCACCTTAGGCGTGGGGCAAAGTGAAGCGCGTTCAATAATGCTTATCTCTAAGCCAGCTCCCGCCGGACTCACCAATTGGCAAAGGGCGTTCTCCCCACCCCTTGCACTCTGTCCTTGGGTCTAGAGAGAGGGAACCCACAGCCTTTGACCCCTACTGGGAAGCACTGCTGGGTTGTAACAAATGGTGGTAGATTTTTTTTTAAGAATTCATCCTGCTTTGCGATCTCTAACATAATGCCACGGAGCACCTGTGTATGTAAACAGATATGTGTGTGTATAAACAGATGCTCCGTGGCATTATCTTAAATATATATCTATCAAAAGACATCTCCTTTGTGGATCTTGTGACTTAGGTACCAAGGTTGATTCCCTTCATAATGAAAACTAAAACAATAATGGTTAAGATATCTCGAGTGATTATCAAATCTGCCGTGCATTTCAGGTCCTCCATTTTGTTTAACCCTCACATGATAAGTATTATTTTTATCCTCTGACAGATAAGTCATGTGGGCCTTAGAGAGGTGACAACTTGCCCAACGTCCCACAGCTAGTACGTTGCAGAGAGATTTACCACGTGTCTAAATTTGGGTAACGACAAGGTCTGGGTTGGGATGGTCGATGAGCACACACTGGTGTGTACCGACCAGCGGATACGCCACGTGTTCTGTTTCTACGATGGACGGCTGTCCCAACAATGGCACGTTCTCCAACCCGAGTCACTTGTCTAAGGCTGATGGCCACAGTGTCAGAGAACTGACGATGACCACGAGGATCCCCTCTGATCAATGGGTATTAATTTATCATAGCAAAGCTGAGACGAGGGAGGCCGAAGAGCACACACTTTTTAACCCCAGTTGTCACAAGTGCATTTTATAGCCAAATTGTTCCCCATCCGAAGGAAACAGATGGCCAACTGCACACAAAATCAGCTGCTGGTTGGGCCGTAGAGAAACTGTCTGTGTGCTGCGAGCGGTGCCTGACCCCAAACCGTGAAGATCCTGTGCTGCAGGATTCGGAATTGGAGCAAAGAGTGGCTAGACGCTAGACGTGGACGTGACGGAACCGTGGGCTATGTCCAAAAAGGAATCAGAGGCTCCAGCGTGTCATTAGACAGAAAGGAAAGGGGGAATGGAGGCAATGGGGACAGACGCATATTGGAATCACCTGGGGAATTTTTTAGATCATGACGCCATGGTCCCAGCCCCAGAGATTCCGATGGAACCAGTCCGGGACGCCGGCATCAGAATTCTTTAAATGCCCAACTCCCAGCTAACTCTGACGAGCAGCCAGGCTGAGGACCACTGGGGGAAAACACTGTTGGCGGGAAGGTGGGCAGGTTTTAGGAAAAAAATAAAGGTGATCAGAATTATGGTTTTTTGGGTGTTTTTTGAGACAGAGTCTGGCTCTCTTGCCCGGGCTAGAGTGAGTGCCGTGGCGTCAGCCTCGCTCACAGCAACCTCACACTCCTGGGCTCAAGCGATCCTCCTGCCTCAGCCTCCCAGGTAGCTGGGACTACAGGTGTGCACGATGCCCGGCTAAATTTTGTATTTCTAGTAGAGACGGAGCCTCGCTCTGGCCAGGCTGGTCTCGAACTCCTGAGCACAAGCGCCAGGATTACAGGTGGGAGCCACCGCGCCTGGCCAAGAATTATGTTGATTGAAACTTTGATCGTCCACAGCAAGAGACACGCCGTGCTTCCCGTTTTTTATCTCCGGTCCTCGCAGTGGCTGGAGGTTTTTCAGCTAAGGAAGCTGAAGCCTGGGGAGGAGAAGAAAGCCCCTAACGACAGCCCCTAGCTGCGCAGTTTGCGTCTTTCCTCAGCCACGGTCAGGGTCCCAGCGCTGTGCGCCAACGGCCGTCCCTCCGCCCTGACACCCAGGGACCCCGTTCGGTGGGTGCGGGCTGGGTCCGGAGCACCCCGGTTAGTCTGGCCAGGTGGCTCGGGCTATTTGAGGGCGTCCTGGCCACAGTGTCCTCCTCCAGGTGCCCAGATGGAGCGGATACTAAGGAGAAGGGAGGGACGGAGAGGGGGTGGGAGGAGAGGCAGGAGAGGTGGGGAGGGCAGGGGCAGATTTGGGACTTGGCTGCAGTGATAACTGAGACACCGTGACACAGTAGTTAACATTGTTGAAGGATACACATCACATGTCCGTGGGGCTTGCTAGTCGTAGCCGGCCTTTCTTCCAGCTGGTGTCAAAGAGGTAAACTGAGGAACGCCAGAGGTCTGGGCTCAGAGGCAGAGAAGAGGCGAAGCCCGCAGACAGACGCAGCTGAGGCGGGCACAGTCCGCAGAGCCGCCCAGGTGGCCTGGATACCAGAAGCATCCAGCGCCAAAGACGGGTCTGTTGAGCACAGAAGTGCTTTCGTGTCACGCCCTGTCCTATTTAGCT